TTTTTTCTGTCTTTTTTTTAAAGTACGTTTTCATTCACACCACTTCTTTAGCGTGCAAATGATCAAAGGCATGATTACTCAAAATGCAGCAGTGTGTGTGTGTGTGTGTGTGTGTGTGTGTGTGTGTGTGTGTGTGTGTGTGTGTGTGTGTGTGTGTGTGTGTGTGTGTGTGTGTGTGTGTGTGTGCAGTACTTTCGCAGCGCTTCAACTTTACAACCACAAAAGTATATTTTATAGGAATTCCATATGATATATTTTCTTCCACTTACAATGTTGTGAAGTGGAAGAAAATTCTATGGAGTTCACAAACGTTGGGCTTGATTTATTATGATCTCTGAAATTAAATCCAATAGAACCAATTGTTTTCAAAAGTCACTTTATGAGCAAATGTACAGATCTATGTGTAATTTAATTTTAGTGTTAAAGTTATTTGAAGACCTTAGTAGTTTGCTATGAGCCTTAGTGAGCAAAAACATCACAAACAACCAGGAAGACACCAGAATAAGCAATACTATTTAAAGCAAGTTAGGTTATTAAAAAATATTACCAAAATTGAATATCTACAAAAGAATCCATAAGGAAGCCATTATTAAAGAGGAAGCCATAAAAACTCCAAAAGGAGTAGTTCTTATGGCTACGAATGGGGCAAAAATATGAGGAAGGAGTTCTGGAAAGATTTAGTGAAGATAGAAGGAATAAAGTATATTTTTTAAGCCTCCTCCCAATTATCACTACATGGTGACCCATCATTCACGCCCTATTTGTAAGACAATGTTCCCCTCCAAAAATTGTTGCATTTACGGAACAGAGGACTGAAAATGCAGCAAGCACTGGAAAACGCTGCAGTGTGCATGCCAGGCCTGCAGGAGGCAGTGAAACCTTATAACACAATGCAGGGGTTAACCACATGCTTGTAAGTCCAGAACAAAAGGAAGACAAGTTCTGAGTTGCACATCTGACCTGTCGATGTAATCCGAGTCTTATCTGACGCCATCATTGTTCCCACAGAACATGGAGGTCCGTCATTGTTGTTATTGTTGTACGCGGGTGAAAAACAGGGTGTCAAGATTGACTGATGTCATCGTTTCTGAATGCTTTAGGTTTGCGTCTACACAAACACAGTGTGATTCTAAAAAGCTTCACTCTTTCAGAAGAGTGAAACTTTTGTCAAACTTTTGCAAATGCTGTTATCCCGTGTCAACAAGAAACCATAGTACAAAACAATATTCTCACTTAACTGTCCTGGCCTTGTTGAGTAAACAGGCCTTTACAATCCCAATAAAACTGGAGTTTGTGGCTGCAACATGTCAAAATCTGGGAAGATATTCTAGGCACTGTACTCTATGTGTGCTGGTCACCTGTTAATGGCTAGCTGGGGAGGAATTTGTGTTGCAGAAACTAAACAGGTCCTTTAATTGGGGTTGAGTGAGCAGCAGAGTCACACACAAACACACACACACAAGCACGCATGCACCCACGTAGCAGCCAAGTCCAAGCCAAACCCAAGCCAAGACTCTGTGTTTAGAACAAGAAAAACACTTTGTTTACGCTGTAGGGCCCTTCACTGCTCAACCAGCGAAAGAGGGAAATCAACTCATCCCTGGTTCCCTAGTCACCATTGCGTTGTCAACAGATGAAGTCAGCATCTCACACCCAGCAGATGGGGTGTGCAGAACAGCGGCCTACTTTACCAAATGGACTTTGTTCTCCCCCCCGTCCTCTAATCAATGCTCATCATCTGCAAGACGAAGTTGTAATTGGAAGGTTAGGCAAGAGAGTGCTCGGAGTAAATCTGTGATTATTTGAGGCGCGTGTTGGCTCTCGTGGAGGTTTTAACTTATTGAGGCATTTCAGGGCAGGAAAAAAAATATATGCAAGTACGTGTTATTTATTGTCTGAAAGGAGACAGATTTTCTTGGAGACAATCCTGCAGGGTTTTTGCTGTGAATCTTTGCCAGGGATGCTCAATATCAGATGCAGCTTATTTAAAAAAATAAATAAATAAAAAATTGCATTGCTTTGGTTAGATCAGAGCATCCAGATGATAAGGACACGCCCACCCAAAACGCCCTCAAATCAGATGAACAAATAGCTCAGGCTCCAGAGGGAAAGCATACACACACACACACATACATAATCATTTATTTTATTTATTTTTTTTATCATTTATCCTTTAAGTTGTCTGTTTTTTTGTCCATATAATTCCTTTATTCTTCACACCCAAATCAAGAGGCTCTGTGCGCCGCAGATAAATAGGAATTCCAAACTCCAAAGGTTCATTTGTCATGGTGTGAATTCCAAGAGTAGAATCTAGAAATAGCTCGACTGTTCAAGCGCGTTGTTGCCTGGGGCTTGGTGGCATGTAGGAGGCTTTGGTGATATTTGCCTTTTGCATATTTTCTAGTAGGGGGCTTTTTTGGAAGGCAGATATGCACTTTTCCCATTGCAAACATGGAAAGTATGGGGGGTGGGGATTTTTTTGTGCACGCGTTCTGAGCTGCACGTTGTAGGAGGCTATGCCCATTATTTTGGTATGACATTACAGTTTTAATTGAATTGAATACAATTTATTCTTAAGAAAACTTTTAATTAAGTGCCATATGGACAGATTGTGGAGTGGTGGCCTCCATGATATTCCCTTGGGGACATTTGCTGCATAATTAAGAATATGAACTGCAATACCATGGTGAGATTTAATGGAAACTTGCAGTCTAAATAGACGACGTTAGAAAGCCATTATTACCAGCCAGCAAGGGCTATGAATGGTTCTCAAGGGACTCGAGGCGTGTGGAGTGGAACCCTGGGAATAGAAAACCACTGAGACTATGAAGGGAAGTGGGAAAGTAAGCAGAGTGGAAGCAAAGCATTTAACTTTCTGAATTAGACGGAAATATTGTAGTAACAGGTCTCTAAATATGGGATAAATCTGGGCAGGTTCTCAGACTAGAGGAGGTATGCTGTCTTCTGCCCAACTGAGAACAGGTCGCGAGATTAACAGCAGAAAGTTCAGATATCTTTGTCCCCAGAAACACTTTCTAACTTTTTCTGGGAAGACCTTTGAGGCCAGAATTGTCCCAGAGTCCCTTTGACAAATTATGGGACAATAATGGAGACAGTGGTAGGAGTTCGTCCCACAATCAATGGGACAGCTGGCTTGTTTCCCGCTCCGTCCGCTCAAATCATCGTGTCTTTCAAGATACTTCACCCGACTCGGCTGCTGGTGGGCAGAGGACCCGGTGGCATTGCAGCCTCAGCTCTGTGGCTACTATCTAGCAGCTTGCCACCGTCAGTGCATGAACGTGTGCATGAATAGGTGAAAAACTGAATGCAGTGTCAAGCGCTTGAGGGTCCTCTGGACTTGATGAAGCGCTATACAAGTACACCCTCAACTGGATGCGAAGAAGGAGCAGTTCTATTCCAATCGCCTCATCCTATCTTTAAGGCTAAGCATGGCCAGAAAAAATTCATTTAAAACCATTACTAAGTAAAGTTTTTAAATATATGCATAAAAAAATAACAGAACTTAAGACCTGTATCTCCACAGAAACATGCAAACCTTATCCAGCCAACTGGCAATAAATTTGAGACACATAAAAAGCCAGATGACTAGAAAGGGTATCAAAGCAGTGAGTGACAAGTGGCCTCAAAAGTTAGACTTAGACTCGTACTTTATTGATCCCTTGGGAAGACTCCCTCAGGAAATTAAAGTTCGACAAGCCCAAAGAAATAAATGCAGTTTATATACACAGTCCTGTCAAGAAAAAAATGAAAACCTGTGATTAAATTAAAGCCAATTTACTTTCTTTTAAAAAATGAATTTAAGACGTTTCAGTCTTAATTCTAAGTATCCATGGACACATTGGAGTGGTTTAGTATTCCAGGCCCCAATGGAAATTTATGCTGGACACAGATGAGCCATTATTTATACTTCTTTGCATCTCTATGATGATTTTAGATCTCATAGAAGATAATATTTTCTTCTCTCATTCACAGGTTCTTTTGTCCTTTAATCCACACATCATGCGAGTTATAGCGGTGCTTCTACAGGCAAAGAACATGATGTATTGTTGCTGGTCTAAAACATAAGATATCACACCGAACGCAAGAATATGTAGCTCTCATGTTATACAAGTATAGAATTGATGCTCGTCAAGTTCTTTGGTATTCTTTGGTACCAACACTTTGATACAGATTGTCTTGATCCAAGTTTCTTGTGCCTGTCCAATAAAATAAACAAGAAAAAATAAATTCATGATATATTTGATTTGGAGCCGCTTTATTTGTACACCGCCATGGAGAAGTAAGTATGATTGAAGCAATTTTGACTCCAATTACCGCAAAGGACCCAACATCACCATGAAACCACAACACACTAGCAAAGAGCCACAACAGCAAAGAGCCACAAGGCAACAACAAAAAAGCTAACACATCAGCAAACAGCCACAACAAGCCAGCAAAAACCCACAAAACACTTGCAAAAAAAAAAAAAAACACACAAAATGCAGAAAAGAGCCATAACAAAACAGCAAATAGCTAAAAGGAAACAGAAAAAAATGTTACAGCACTAACAGCAAACTATTTAAGGTGTCCCCTTCTGGAACACCTTAAATAGAGCAATAAACGCAATTTTTCAAATGAGAAAAATAAAGCAGATTGCAGTAAGGTTGTTTTTTTTTTTAACCACAAGGCTATTTGAAAATACCTCAGTCTTGCTTCACTTAGAACTTTAAGCTTACTTCAAAAACACTAACATTTACATAAAACAGCAACTACAACCTTTCAATTTCCCTCCCTCAGTAACTACAGCATACTTTTTCCTAATAGAGCATTGCCAATAAAAACTCACCTGTGAATGTAAGTTCACACCTGAATAACCTTATGAAGAACAAATAGCTAAAACTCAATACCAAGTCAAAATCAACGCTGTTGGACTACTCGACACACATCAGCCCCAATTGTTTAGTGCTCCAGTATAGCAGTAGAACAGGTTTAGTACTCACATTAGCCGCGGTGAAATGTCTATAACCTGGAGTGACGCCTCAAAAACCGCATGGAGCAGAGCAGCTGGCTGTATCCCGCCTTGTCAGAGGACCTTGTAGCATGGAGCGCTAGCTGGTTTCTACGGACGAGTGTCTTCCGGTGTAGTCCACCGGAAGACATTCGGCCTTCCGGTGGACTACACCGGAAGGCTTTATCGTTGCCACTGGAGTTACCAGCGGTTGCCCTGGTTACCTGGAGAGCTATCGCGTGCAGCTGCCGCCTCGCCCAGGACCTCAGTTTGGCGAAGCTACACAGGGTGAAACATTCTTCAAGTCCCGCTGCGTTACGTATCTTAAAATGTCACTGACCTATGTTCAGTCTCTCTTATTTTTCTCCATTTGAAGCTTGCTACTCGGAGCCTAGCTTCTAGTTCGGCGTTTCCGTTTGTCACGTTCTCCTCGCGTCCTTCCTGACCTGGTTTCCGTGCGTCATCCGTTCAGCCAATCAGAAGTCTTAGATAATTCAGTTACGCATCCAATCACTTAAAGAAAATGGAGGGATTTCGTTTTTTTATTATGGAGTACGTTTTCACAGTCCCTCTCAAGAACATTCACGGAACCCTAAACCAGTCTGTACAGCTCATAACATTTCTGCTTCTTATATGTATTTTTTATTTGATGTATTTTGTGCCATACTATTCTCAATGTTTTACGCTCACAAATCTGTTTTTGATTGAAACTGAACATGCACTGGTGAGAATCGATCATAATTCACTCTGCAAAAAAATAATTTAAAAATAGCATACCTAGCAAACTATACCAAGACAAATGAGAAGCCCTCTACGGGACAGATCATAACTATATAATCTAAACATCACCAACTACATCAACCTTCAGGAAAGTTCAAAAACTTGTTGGATATGCTAACTGGTGTGACCAGTGACATGGCAAACAAACTTTTTTTTTTTTTTCTCTCTCTCTACATGTTCAAACACTGTAGCAGCGTCCTCACTAATCTTGCATGGTTGTGTTGTACCGTTTGTGAAACGTTCTGTTAAGATAGTTGATCAAAAACACAAGTCGTCTTTGTCACCACTGTTGGCGTTACATCCGAGCCGGTCTTCCTGGATTTCAGGTCCTGGTTGGTGAGAAAATCTTTAGACTTTTTTGGCGAACAATTCAAATTGATTTCTGTTGGGATCATAATTATAATTGTCTAAAAAGAACATTTCCCCCTCACCCCCACCCCATCTTCTTCAGCTCGTCCTATTGGAGTAACGATAATCAAGGTTGTGTTTTGTTACCTCAGTGAGCCCAACTGAAAATAATGAATAATTTCATTGAAATAACGGACGGACGTGAAAGTCCCACAGTGCAAGGAAGCGAGAAGAACTGTATAAAAAAATCCACGTGTTCAACAGGAGAAGGAACATTTTGAAGAAAAAAAAAAGTTCTTTTGGATTTCCTCCAGGCTCTATGAATCAGTGGCTTCCTTTATCTATGTCTGCAAGGACTTTTGACAATCCGCGGGCGACATCTTGTTCCTTGCTCTTATTTATTGTTTGTCTCAATGGCCAGAGCTACTGTAAGAAACTGTCCAAAAGTGGCTCGGTGCTCAATAGAGCCGCTCTGCTCCCCCCCCCACCTTCAATTGTTGCCAAGCACTAATAACTATTTGACGAGAACACGGCAGGCCGAGGCGGATGAAGTCAAGGTAAGCTATTTGCTGTGAACAACAGTAAAATAGAAAATTCCTCTGTTGTAAGCGCTTAACAAGCAAACAAAACAAAGGGAGGATGGAGGGGTAGGGGGGACGGACAACGAATAAAGCAAAGATGTAAAAAGCTGGCTGCATCAAAGAACGCTGGAAAGAGGGAGAAAGGACAAATTAAGAGGAAGGAACGTAAAAGAGGCTGTTGAGAAAGCAGAGGAGAGGGTGAGCACAGAGGCTGGATAACGAAGAAGAAAAAAAAAACAAAGGTGAGAGAAGAAGGGAAATCAAAAGGTGCGTGTGCGAGAAGAAACAATGAGTAGGGAGAAATAAAAGGAAGTGAGGCCACAGTTAGCCGCCCGGAGAACAGAACAAACTCATTTACAGAGCAGACTGCCAGACTTGAAAACAATTATCTGCCATCTTCGTTTCCTCTGTCGAAGAGCAGCCTGTTTTGCGGGGCTCTTTGTTTTTCTCAAGGACATATTCATTATTTCAGATGAGACCCATTTGAGTCTAAATAAAGACTTTCTCTCCTCCCTGTCAGATTCGGTGGAGCTGTGATGTTGCATCTGAGGGGACGTGAAAACATGTTTGAAAAGGGGGCTGATGAAAGCGCTCCCCTGCCAGTAATGCATGTTCATTAAGTTGAGATTCTCTTTTATTCTTCACATATTGGGTGCTAACATCTTTGTTTTTATTTTTTATTTTCCCTTTACTTATTTTAGGGAGTTTTTTTGTTGGAGGGCCACATTGTACCGCACAAATCGTCTGGGAATCCATAAGCCGTGGATGACATCTTCTCCTTCGTTTGTCACCCTCTACACTAGATGTAAATAAATTTATTGGCGATCCAGGCACAAAATGAGCAAAAAAGCCTTGAATGGAATTAATTTGTTATTGCAATCACATTAGCTCTCAAAGAAGAAGGAGCAAAATCGAATTTATAATATAATTACATCTGTTTGTGCTTGCGCTACAGTGGATTTCCTCAACATTTCACCGAGCAGGAGAATCCAGAGAAAGACCAGTTCATCCAAAGTCCTGGATCCTCTCTCATGCTCTCTTCTCTTCATCCGAGCCAACAAGTCGCTTTAGGATGGTCATCAAAGATGGCTGATGTTTGGATCGTCAGCCATTTCTATCTTGGTTTGGTCCTTCCAAATCAATGTAAGACGAGTTTCAATAAGAAATCTATCCTCCGTTTTCCATTGATGACAAATGTTTCAGATTTCGCTCTAGTGTCTAAAGTGTTAGGTCGTACATTTTAATTGTTGAATTCAAATGTTGGAATGACTTTCAAGACCACAAAGACACAAAATACAGAACGGGTTGCTTTTAGAGGAATTCAAGTAAGTTCCGAAGTGATACCGCGATAAGACGCCACAGCAGTAACCCCAATTGGGAAGTTTGCTTGTTAACAGCAATTATTCCATAATCAACTGTGGCATTATAACAAAATGGAATAGTTCACTTAATCACGTGAGACGCCATGACGAATGTCAGAAGTGAGGGACGGGAGTGTTGAACGACAGATTGCTTTCCCAGGTTGTTTTTGCCAGTTTAGCCACGACTTCTACTTGGTCAAGTCAAGCTAATGTGCCTTTGGAAGTAGCACACCTCTGAGGTCCGTAGACAACGATATTTACAAAAGTTAGCAATATATAGCTCAGAAATAGTGAGCTTAGAAAACAACCTGTACCTTCTCCTTCATGTGCTGATTTGGTCAAATTACCGGCTCTTACTTTGTAAAAACCTTTTGCTCCAAATACACCAAGAGCTGCCGGTCCTTGTGATTGACAGCTGCTGTCCATCACCACCATATTACTCCCCATTAAAAATTGCACAATAAAATGACATTTGTTTTTCATCCTCCTCTATTTGAGCAGCTGACTGTGGAGTACTCTTTGACTACTTCACACAAGGCAAGGTCTTTGAAGTCATGGAGGAACAAGCTCGGTGTGTAACAATCTGTCTGGTCTGCGAACAGTCATGACCTCAAATTGATAGAACATATTTGGGATGAATCGTTACAGGACGTCTGGAAGAATGGTTGAAAACGTCCATGAGCACACTCTTAAAACCTTGTGGAAAGTCTTCAAAGAAGAGTTGAACCAATTGAACTGTAGCTGCTGAAATTGGCCCGTCATCGTCAAGTGGATTAAGAACTGGATTTCACCCAAAGCATGTGTGTGAACACAAACAAGCCAATACTTTTGGTAATAGCTGAAATTTCAGAGAGCTTACAATGCCATGTAAATCTTAAGCCAGGATCATTGTTGGCCATCTTGTACAAAAGCCTTTGGGGAAATCAAAAGATCTCTGAAATTTTATTTCAGACTTTAATTTTAATAATAAGAGCATTAACAATCACAATCTGCTCTCCATTCAGTTTGAGATTGATCTCTCCGTCCAATGTTTCTGCTGCACCTTCCATCACATGGCGTGAAAAGAGCCACTGTCTTTATGTCATGTTTGTGTCGTGTGACATGTTAAGATCCAATATGATGTTTCAAACTGTACAGTTTTTGTGGCCTATGAAGCAAATGCAGGCCCAAAGCATGATAGAACCTCCAACCCATTGAAGTCAAAAGAATTTTATTGCAGTGAATAAAAGTCAAATGAAAGGTTATGTTTGTTTTTTTTCAACATGAGATTATACAGCTGCAATACAAGCAGAAATAATTTCAAAGCTTCCCCCTTTTTCTGCACATCTTTACCAGAGGTGCCCAGTAATTTGTCTGTATTTGACCAGGCCGCCTGGAAAACGGGCCGTACCCACTCGTGTGATCGAACTGAAAGGGGTTGGTGGAAAGCCGGCTGTAATCACATCCAGACACAAGACACCTCTGACAAACAGTAAACAAGAAGCCAGAAGTCTTTACGACTTCACACACAACACACACATTCCCAGGAAGTGCTAATCCTCTCCGGATGAGAAGATTCTGACATAGCAAGAAAGTAACTTGCTGCTTGTGTGCTCGCAGCCTCCCCGTTTCCACCTCGGGTCACGACGCCGAGCGCAGACGCAATCATGCCGAGACGCGGCGAGGTTGGCACGGAGAACTAACCCGGGCCCGTTCGGGGTCCCGTCTCACCTGCTCCGGGAGGCCACCGCGCCTTCGCTTGAAGGACCTCTGTGTGGTGTGGAAATGAAAGGAGGCGGCTATGGACACAAACACACGAATGCATGTGCACACACAAACCCAACACACTTCAAATGGCCTTCAAGAGTCCTGCATTCCACATTTAATTGGAAGCAAAAAATAAATAAAGAAATAAAAAAATCACAGTGCAGCACCTTCCAAAGTAAACTTCTCACAACTGCGAGCCAGCCAATCGCACGGGGAGCCCAGGTCTCAGGGGCCCCGCCCTCGAGAAATACGCACAGATAGCCTATTGTTGGTAATGGAACAGCGGTCACACACACACACACACACACACACACACACACACACACACACACACACACACACACATTGAGTGTATTTCCTGCTAAACGAGCTGTGAACATGTTTTGTAATTAAACTGGTTCTTCGGGTGCTGCTGGTGTTTTCACAACAAATTTCCCCCTCCCCTAATGCCATCACGAATAAGATCTCCTCGTTCATCTCCATCAGGACGCTTTGCTTAAGAAACAAATGCGATTCTTAATTTGCACATATTAAAATGAAACCGAGGTGAGCGAGCTCGCAAGTGGAATTTCACAACTTTGATCTGGGCTCGTTTCACTGCGAT